AAGAAAGTCAACAGTCTCCAAGAAATTGCAAGCCACTGCTCTCCAGGCTGTACTTCTCAGGTGAGGCAACCCGAGGTGGAGAGTGAGTGGAGCATCGTACATTTTGCTTGGTGAATCCACATCGCATATTTGTCCTGAGTGCTCATCTCGAATGTGGTCTGCCAACAAGAAGATGGTCTGGGTGCTGCACCCCCGCCCTGTTTCTTCAAGGTCAGGGCCAAGGGTGCAGAAAGGACGTTAGAGTCCAAAGGGAGAAAGCTGAAGACCAAGATGGGGGGGGGGCGTGTTACAGATGGATGGATGGTTCAGTGTCTGGGACTTTAAAAATAGCTTAAAATAAGAATTCACTTGTGCTGTGTGTCTTTTCCTGGGGAGATGTAGAGAAATGTAGATTGACCCCAGATAGGATAGCCATGGCAGACCAAAGGAACAGTTCTACATTCTACCGTGATGAGCCAGGGAATTGATGAGGGTTGCTTACTTACAGGCACATGGCAATACAAAGGCTTGTCCCCAAACTAGTAACCACACATCCCTAGAGCTCTCTGCACGTCTCTACACAGTCCAGCTTGACTGGGTTCCAGTCTCCCCCCTTACAGGAAGTGCCACTGAGTATACAGTGTTGGAAAGGGGCCCCTCTTGTGAGTTTCTGTAGCTTCTTGAGACTAGTAAATTTTCATTTGCTTCCTCAACAAGCCTCCCTCTGGGAGGAGTGGGACTCCAATTCCAAGGAGATACCTATACAGCAATCAGGACTGGGTCCTGGATAGTTAGAAAAAAAGGACATGACAGCTCTGGTACACCATTAGCTTCAGTGAGACAGAGAATAGAAGCTTGCCTCCACCATGGCATCCAGAGTTCCTTTGGTGCCACAGGTGAAGGGGCTCCGGTGGCCCTGCCTGCCTGTGTTGTTGTTCTTGGAACAGCGAAGGCAGAAGGAAGAGACTCACGTCATCATTGACATCCACAGCTGCAGGCAGAGAGCTCTTGGAATAAGTGCTTCAGATCATGGCTCTGCTGTCCTCATCCTGTGGCTTCCCTACAACTGGCGGAATCTTTCCCGTTGCCTGTATGGTCTGTTCTGCTGGCCTTGGCCGTCTGTGCCCTGCCCGTTACATGCTGGCCACAGCCTTCTCTCAGCTCCTTTAACCAGGCCTGTTGAGTGGATGCCTTTTCTCACCCGTGTGCTCTTCCTGAAGCTCCCCCCTCAGTGACCTACTCATCTCCGCCCAAGGCCTCGGCTTTAGTATCACTGGCGGAGCACCAACCCCTCTCCTGGGTCTTGCTGGGCTGTGGGTGGCTCCCCGACTCCTCTCTAGAGCTCTTTCCTGGTGTATCCTGTTGATGTCCTTCAGAGGACTCAGCGTAAGCTGAAGTGACCTTGTTTACCTGCTTGCTTAGTCCTGGTCTGTGTGAAGTCCCCTCCAGCACTGGGAGTTCCTCTGTCTTTCTCTGTTCGGTAGCATCGGGCCCTCAAGAGGTATGTGGAGCATGTGGCAGATGTTCTTGTCACATCTATGTGATAAGTGAACTGAATAAGAGAAGAAATCTGGACTGGAGAGATGGCTCAGCAGTTAAGAGCACTGACTGCTCTCACAAAGGGTGGAGGTTTGGCTCCCAGCATGCACGTGGAAACTCACAACTCTCTGTAACTCCAGCTCCAGGGCATATAGTGCCCCCTTCTGGCCTCCTGAGGTACTGTACTCATGTGGTGCACATACGTACATAAAATAATAAACAAAAACGAATTTTTTTTAAAAATAATTTAAAAAAGAAATAAGATACCTGGACTCCATCAAAGCTGCCATCCACCATCTACTTTTGCTGACTGGCTTGTGAAGTCCTTTATGGACTTAGCTGAGTCTGGGATGGTGGTGAAGTTTTGCCATGACGTGGGTCATTCATGTTCAAGACATTTAGGGCAAGTCCCCTAAGTTATAGGAAACTAGAGTGTGAAAAGAACGTTCTTCCTGATCCAGTCGGGGAGGCTCAGGATCTCTCTAACAGAGAGCTTCCTTATCGACCTTAACTGTGGTGTGTGGACAGTTTGGATCATAAGAAATGAACAGAGGGCTGTTGAAAACCTTCTGCATTTTTTCCCACAGGGTTAGAGTGCCCATTGACCATGCAGATGCTGAACAACACACAGACACACACCCTTTAACACAGGTGGACGAGAGGTTGACCTATGGGGAGGATTTCCTTTTATCCACCCCCTCTGACAGCATTCTCTGTGACCCCTGAACTTGTGCACGGAAGAGAGGTCACTGAGGCCGAGAGAGGTCAGTCCCCATCACCAAAAAGGATTTTATTTTGCATATTATAAAAAAAATTGAAACTCTCAGGGAAGATCGCGTCTCACTGTCTTTTAAAACTAAACCTCAAATTATTCAAATGCCCATAAAAAATGGACATTTAAACAAAACCGTGGTTTTATGACATATGATGGGATGTTATTCAGCCTCAACAGTGGGTAGTTTGAATATGTGCTGTGATATATGTGCAGATGTCATGCCTAGGTGTCACCAGACAGACACAGAATGACCATCACCCCATTGATGTGAGGTGTCTAGAATCCTCAACTTCACTGAGACAGAAAGAAAAGTGGCAGATGCCAGGGGTTGGAGGGAGAGAGGAGCGGGGAGTTACTGTCTGGATAGGCAGAGGTGATGGTCACCTCGTGTAAGTGGGATCCTATTGGTCCTTTTGTGATGGGCTAATTCCACTTAACAGAATGCCTTGGGGTTTATTAGTGTTATCACAAGAGCCAAACTTCTCTTCTCTTTAAAGGACAAGGGAAATATCCCCTCTGGCCCTCATTGGAATAGACTGACAAAGACCACACAAGAGAAAACACATATCAAATAATTAATGCACAGAAAGGGGAAATCACTGAAGGGGTGGGGGTAGGGAGCACACAAGTATGGCAGTATGATGACTCCCCAGCCTAGTATATTCAGAAGTATGTATACTGCTTCCTTTACCGAGGGGAAGAATAGGAAATGTGGGCAGTTGTAAAGGTTAGATATGAGACAGAGATTAGTATGTAAAGGTCCTTTTTGGAATTGGAGCCCAAAGGACAGATGGCATCCTAGAAGAGACCTCTTTGGTGACTTACACTTAGTCACTTACATATTGTAGATCCACTCTGGAGAAATTTATATCTCAGTAAAATAGTAATTTGAACATTACAGACATTTTATACTCCACCCCCCCCCCCGAAATACAACCAAAAACCTTGAAGCTCTTTTTAAAGATTTCTTCTCTTTGACTACTGCTCCGTCACCCCCAGCCCCAGAAACTGTAGTTGGTTTTGTTTTTGTTTTTGTTTTTGTTTTTTTGTGCCACAGGCTATAAAATCATTTATTTCAAAGAAAT